GTGACCATCAGAGATCTCTGTGTTAATTTGGTCCCCAGAGTGATGGCATCGGAACATGGTTGAATTCTAAAGTAGTAAGGCCTATTGGGAGGTCTTTGGGTCATTGAAGGCATGACCTTGACCTTGACACTGAGCTCTGGGCCTTCCTTCCTTTTTTTTACTTCCTCAGCCATGAGATGAAAGATTTTCTCTTCCCTACACTTCCTATCCTATGTACTGCCTCATCACAAGTCCAAAAGCAATAGACTCATTCTTCAAAACTGTGAGCTAAAATAAACCTTTTCTCTTTATAAACTTATCATCTCAGGTACTTGATATAGCAACAGAAATCTAACGTATGAGACCAGCATTTTATTTCAAAAGCAGAAAAGTCAAATTAAGAAACAATAAGTGCCCAAAGACATTTAACAAGTAGAGTAACAAGGATTTAGGCAAGTTTTCTGATATGGCAGACTGAGTCTATACTAAATATATAGAGTTTTAGAATTAATTTTTATTCATATTCTAATGTTAAACATTTCCAGTGATGGAATATTATACTGTCACTTAAAGTAGTGAATTTGAGCTATTTTTGTGAGTAAATTGATTTAATTTTTGTGGGTAAGAATTTTATTTTGCTTCCAGTATGTACAGACTATTTTGAGGAATTCATGCATGGAAATGATGTGGCTCTGACCTCTGTGAAAGAAAGGATGTAAATGTGAGGCACTTATGGTTAAAATAAAACCCAGGGAATCAGGAAGGATAGAATGCACTGGGGTGTAAGGAAGAATATGCCTTAGCTGAGGCTTGAGACTGTTGCAGATCCCACAGGGTGGGCACCTCAAGAGCCAATGCACAGGCAGAGGTTATGAGGTGACAGTGGTATGTTTATGAGTGACTCATTCTCTTTAACCTCTATTTTCTCTCTTTAAAATAGCATAAGATTGTCAAAAACTTTGGTGAGTGATTGATCTGAATAACTGGCCTGTTGAAGTTTGGACATTCCTTTCTTATAAGAAGCAGGTAGTTCTTTATTACTATATTTTTTCAAAATTGTTATTCTTATTTCAGGTACAGTATACAGTATATTTTAGCCAAAGCTTCATTGTGTATTTTTTTTTTACCCATGAAGCAAACAGAGTGAAGTAAAACCATGAAAATAAAAGGCAATTTTGAGCCCCACCGTGACCGTAGGGTAGAGAGGGAGGGGAGTGTAACACAGTATTAAGGAATCTCCAGAGACTCTTAGCTTAGTGGTCTCTTCTCAGGCCAGACTCCAAGAACTTCTGCAGCAGGAAGAATTAATCTTTTATTCCACCCAAGATAAGTGTATTTTCCTCTAATATACAAATAAAAGCTTTCACACTTTTGTGACAAAGCAAATATTGTCATCTGCTAACTTTTTTAATGACACTATATGTGTTGCTTAGGAAATAGTAATCAGGTCAGATTTTGATTGAAGGTCATCCTACTTATCAAGATTGGGAACATCCTATAGTAGTGACATATAAAATAATGTGACATAGAAATTATAGTCTAAAATTTAAAACCAAACCAAAACAAGAAAGAAAATGTAGAAGTCAAAGTTATTGAGGCTCGGAGAATCATCCTTTCATGTGAGAGTACTTGACTGAGCTATCTAGTTCCATTTAGAACAGTGGCTTTAATATACAGTAGGATTTCTTCAAGCTTTGAAGTGATACTATATTGCCAATATTTGCTGTGTTTGATGGGCAGATTTGCTGTGTATGATGACAGTTTGGTAAGACTCAATCCATTTACCCTACTTGGTTAGCAGTGTAACAGTGTTTAGTTCAGAGAGATATAGACAGGGTGCGGGAGGCAAACTCACCTTTGATTCCATATGGAAGTCTGAAAGAGCTTGCACTTTGAATTTGTCTGGACATCATTTGCTTAGCAGGAATGGCTATGTTTTATTCATTCATGTACAGTATGTTTCATTTCTATATTGAATGAAATTGTTATATTTCTAAGTTCTGTTTTATAGCTATGGAAAGGGAGTATATTCATGCATTACTAGGTACCATAAACAGTCCCATCCAGCATCTCACAAATGGACTAGAAAATAGATGTTTCTAATTGACATTACTTACAAAGGAGATTTATTTTAATTACTATGATAGCAAACAGGATATAACAGTTGGCATAAGATTTGTCTCTTGCTCTGAATCTGAGAGATGGCTTTATTCCCTAGTGTTCCTGAGAACTGAGGTCCTGTTCTTGGTACCAGGGTGGTCAAGAGCAGTAGCCAGCTAGAAGGCAGCACATCATTCGCACATATCTTATTGAATGAATTAGTTTCTTCTTTCCTGAGGAGACTGAATTCACATACTATTGCACGTTTATGGCTACACTTTAACAATATTCAGCTCTTTCTAATCACAGTAGGTGTTTTATTGCTATAAATTTAGAGTTAGATTGAATATTTTTAAAATTTAAAAATAAATCAAAGGTTAAGGCTGAGGATATTGTCATGTGACTCTTCACTGCAAGCGTTGTAGCTATAAGGAAACATTTCTCTACTTTGATCTGAGGTTCTACTATGTTAATCATTCTAACTCTCTGGATTGCAAACTGATAAAATTATGAGGCTAAACAAAGACAAATCTGTAAGGAAAATATCATAAGAATCATTATGCACTGAGTCATCTGTCCTTGTATGGTACCATTTCCCCTCCAGAAGAAGTGAATGAAATATACTCATTCTAGCCAAAGTAAAGTGCTATTTAAGCAAACCCCATCTACAAAGTCTTGCAAACTCACACTTGATCAAATAGTTTACGAAGAATGGAGAAGCTCACAGGCATGTCAATTCACAAGGGACACAGTTAAGGTCCGGGGTGTGAGTGGGGACACTGTCAGCAGCTCAAAAACAGGGTCTCCTCTAAAGGGAATTTGCATTTTCTGAGCTCTCAGATGGCCTAAGCAGGACACATTCTTCTTTAGCCCTGCACTACAGCAACACGATTATTAATTATGCAAACATTTTTTTGATGGGTAAAAGAATTTGAGAATGACTCAGCAAGTGATTTCAAAAGCAATTCCTCTACCTGCTTACTGAACATGTTCTGTCTGCTCTGTGTCCCGGGGGTTAAAAGTTTAAGATGTACAGGAGGGTCCTCGGCACTGCAGTAGTCTCTGAGAAAGCCCCCCTGTTTTGTGAAGAGCATAGAATCAGTTTAGTTCCACCTAGTCTTCCTATTATTTTAGTTTATGGTGAAAACAGATGCTACTTCTTCAAGATCAGCTTACTACTTTTCTGTTACAACCATACTAAGACTTGGTCAGATTTCCAAAGGAACAACTGGCTCTACCTGTCACACGGATATGTGTGCATGCGTGCACGTGCGTGAGTGCGTGTGTGCATGTGTGTGAGAGAGAGACAGACAGAGACTATCATATTTCTCTCTAGATGAGACTTTGTAGATTGATAGTAACTTGGAAAGGGGTTGTGTTTGTCAAATAAGGATGTAAAGGCAACAGAAGGTGTTTTACAAGTCTCTGCTAAAGTGACAGCTAAAGATTTAGCTGGAAAAGCAAAGCTCCCAGTCCCCAGTCCCCTGGAAGCCTGAGAGAGCAGTCATCTCACCTATTTTGGAAACTACTTGCAGATGTGGGGAAACCTCGGAATTGCTCTCACACACTGGGCTTTTGCAGAGATTTTCTCTGATATTTTTCCCTCCTCAACTTCCCACAACCTGTGTTTGTCTTGAGTCTGCTGGGCTGACATGTGGTTTACCTCCGCGGATCCAGCTGCCAGGTTTTACACACTCTGCTTCTCCGAAGTAAAGCAAGTGACGCCTAAGGATACCAAGCAACTCCGGGCTTGGGCGCCAGAACTCTCACAGAAAATTTGCTTGCGGAGTGTTCCATCCAACTTCCCTTCCTGCGCCCACGTGAGCCACAGCGCCAGCCCATCAGAGAGGTCTTAGCATTTCCTGCTGCTGCTGCAATCTGTAACTCGATTTTGGA